AGATTAGAGTAGCCAGGGGTTGCGGGGTCCTCTAGCACACTTGAAGACTGCTGAAATAGAAAGAATACTCTGACCTGAAGCATCCAATTGCAAAAAGGCAAAGTTCAAGAGTAACGGTGGCAGTGGACTAAAACTGTATGAGGACTGCAATCTGGAATTTCCTCTCCTCCACCCTATCTGGAGAAAGAAGGAATGGCTGGTACATGACATGGATTTGAAAGATGTTCCAATTTTATTTGGGGTGGTTAGATGGAGCTTGCAAGCAGTGCCTGAATTGACTCCAAAAAAGTTTTGCATATAAGGGACAGGTCTTTATATCAGCAATTAAACAAGAAAACTGTGTTGCCATTAGAAAGTTTCAAGCCTATTGCCATTGAAAACAACTATGTGTAAAGCTTGATTAGTGTATCTTGCCCACAGTTTCAAGTACAGTTGTGCTAAAAAATGTGCATATCCTGGCAGAAATCATGAAATGTTGGCATTAATATTGAAAATATGACGTATCATGCCAAATTAAACCATTAATTATCACATAGTTGTTTGGCTCCTTTTTAAATCATAATGATAACAGAAATCACCCAAATGGCCCTGATCAAAAGTTTATATACCCTGGAATGTTGTTTGGCCTTGGTACAGACACACAAGATGACACACAGGTTAAATTGGCAATTAAAGGTTAATTTTGAGTTTGTTAGCCCTTATGTGGATGCACTGAGCAGGCTAGAAACTGAGCTATTAGAATCAGAAAAGAACTGTCAAAAGACCTGCGTAACAAGGTAACAAAACTTTATAAAGTATATAAAAAGATATCCAAAGCCTTGAATATGCCAGTCAGTACTGTTCAATCACTTATTAAGAAGTGGAAACGTCAGGCCAAGTATGTGTAGACCAAAAAAGATTGCAGCCAAAACTGCCAGAAGAATTGTTCAAGATACTAAGAAAAACCCACAGGTAATCTCAGGAGAAATACAGGCTGCTCTAGAAAAAGATGGTGTGCTTGTTTTGAAGGACCACAAACGACGATACTTGAACAAAAATAAGCTGCATTGTTTGGTAGGCAGAAACTGCACCAATGTCACAATAAAGCTTGGTGGGGCGTGTCAAGGTGTTGTCAGGCATACTGTAACTGGGCTTTTGTTGCAGCATTGGCACAGTAAAGGCTTCTTTCTGACAACTTGACCAACATCTCCTTGTTGGTTTGGAAGTAAAAAAAAGTCTCAGTAGAAAATTGCTTAAGGAGCCTCCAGTTAAGAATGTTTTTGAAGAGGAAATTGCAAAGCCAACCTCAAGTTGAGAGTCAACAGCTGGTGGCCATAGAGGTGTCATAATTTTGAGGAGAAGTGGATAGTGGAGGCAGGATTTACACACAAGATCATCTGCCATATCATGGACATGGCACTCTGGGTTGCTTCTACACAATAAAAGAGTAAAGAGAAGTAATGACGCAGATCCAGGCAACAGCGAATGAGCCAATAAAGGAGGTGTTAAGAAGACCATTTCTCAAGTAATGATTTCACTACAAATAAATGTACAAAATGTTTAATTGCATTAAAAAAACAGGATTAAAGGCTTTTTACATGTTTCATGCTGTCTTCGGCGCTTTCTCAAAGAATAGCAACTGCTGGCTTGTCAAAGCCTATATAAAAGATGATAATTAAATATGCAACAGCTGATTGGCTCAGCTCACAAGTGTCAGCTGTTACAGTGGATTTCTTCCCATTTTGAATTCAAATAGCAATATGTAGCCATTAGTGCACTTGCGACAGAAACCAATTGAGTACTGTCCTTAATACTTTTTTATTTTGAAAACAGGTGCAGTGCTCACAGAGCTTTATTAGCAAAAAATGCCCTGGTCATGAAAGGGGTAAATCTTCTAGAGGTCAAGTGGTTAAAGAATCTGTCTTCCAGGTCAAAAATTATAATTATGAAAGAATTTGCATGGGCACACCATTAAGCCCTGGTTCACACTGGTGCGACTTGTAATGCGATTTGGAACTGTCAAAAGGCATACCCTATTGTCGGAAATTGCTAAATCGGAATCGTTCCATCGGAGTCGCACCAATTTTGAAAATAGCTCCTACACTATTTTTGGCAATTTCAGGTGCGACGTGCATAGACATCTGTGCATGAAGTTGCACAGATGTCAGGCAAGTCACACTTGAAATCATGCTGACATGCAGTTTGTTGTGCGCTCCCATGACCTGTTTTCAGCCTTACAGTGGGCTGAAGCTCACTGTCAGCTGACGTCACTCAGCCAGTCCAGGCTGCGGAAAGATCCCAACTTTAAAGCGGAGTTCTACCCAAAAATGGAATCTCTGCTTTTTTGCCTCCTCCCTTCTCTGCCACATCTGGCACCTTTTGGGGGGGAGCTGGTACCTAGTTTTGACAGGTACCTGCTACCACTTTTAGCTCAGTTCACTGCAGCGACCTGAGCCAGAAGTTTGTCCCCCACCCTCAGTCCCAGAGAACTGTGACCCATTCATAAAGGGAAGTGCGCTTCGCGCATGCACAGTAGGAAGCCGGCTGTGAAGCCAAAAGGTTGCACTGCTGGTATCTCTTAGTCAAGATGGCAGCGCCAACACTCGACAGCCGATTGAAGAATTGGGTCAGGGTGAGCACACCGCTGGATCCCTGGACAGGTAAGTGCCTTAGTATGAAAAACCAGCAGCTATTTGTAGCTGCTGACTTTTAATTGTTTTTGGGGGGGCAGGGGCCGGAACTCTGCTTTTTAAGTTGAGATTCACTCCAGAGTCTGGAGCAGCACCTGGTTCAGCCTCCCAGCGATCCACTGAGAGCCTGAGCAAACCAGACCCTCCCCCTCCACAGCCCAGCTCTCTAGTGAGGGGGGATGTGAGAAGTCAGTGATCAGTGGTCATGTGATCGCTGAGTTCTCACACTTAGAGTCAGCGGGGTACAGATGCAGCATCGAACTGATGCTGCATCCACTTAGGTAAGTATAATTTGGGAAAAAATACTGTTCCCATACTTCTCTTTTAAAGGGTACTTTAAAACTGCTTGGGGAAGGAAAACATTTTAACTAAGAATGAAAATTCGATTTGGCACAAAAAATAATGGACTAAATGTAGACCAGCTTCCTAAATCACTATTCAACATTTTTATGACTGTGTGTTATTTTGTGGCTACAGAGAATGTCTGGTTCCCTACAGCATCAAGCATAGGTTAGTGAACTGATTGAGATCAGGATCCATACATGGGTCCCATGCATTCTGTGTATGGAGTATCAGAGGCGGAGTTTCATTATATCCACATTGGAACTCAAGGGAATGACAGGTTAATGGCTAACAGCTGTACAATTCATATAAGAGTGGATCTTGTGGTCTGTTTTAGTAGGTTATGATTAAGTGCTAACAGCACGAAACGTGTCAACCTTTCATTCCTTCTTTCTGTGTTCATGTCAGCCAGATGTTCTGGTCCATCTAAGCCGCATTGGAGTGCAGCCGTCCACATTTTTCTTTCACATATGATCAACATACATTTGGCAATTCAGTTGGCATTTTGGAGCTTTCCATCAGCTTTAACCAAACTTTGAATGGATTCCTAATTTCAAATTAGTGAAGAAGCTGGAAGTTGCAAAACAGTAGCAGCCTTTTAAAACATTTACCATTTTATTGCAATCTATTTTGTCACAAAAAAAAAACCCTCACTATAGAACACAGTACGAGAACAAAACATGTGATGCACCTGAAAATGTACCAGATGCTGAACAATCTTTAGCTGGTGTAGCTCTTCAAGTGAAGATATGGGGTACAGGCAGCAGGGCAGGTACTATACTTTTTCTTGTACAAGGTTTTTATTTTATTTATTTCCCTTTGTGTGTTATTTCACAAAAGGTTACATTGACACCTCTGTGTGTAAAATGCAGTGAGGTTATGGCACTGTTGCAAACATATGTAGCACCCTCTAGGTGTAGCTAGATAGGTTTTGGTTTTTTGGGTTTTTTGTGAGTCCAGAGCCTGAGCAGCAGGGGAGTCAGGTGGACGATGGACTGAGAGAAGGTCCTGGAGTGTGAAACCAGGGAGGGGGGACCACCTACAGGCTGGTGCTGGATGAAAGAATCTCCACTGTACCAGTCTCCAAGGGAGGACATTCTGTCAGCAGGGAAAGAGCCAGCCTAGCGTAAGGCCTGAAAGTAGCTGCAAACCACCAAGCTAGCAGGAGAAGACAGTGTAAGTTCCTTTACACCCCCTGGGCCACAGAAAGGAGAGGGTGGTCAGGTGCAATACCCAACTAGTTCTTATCTGGGACTACGTAACTGCAGATCTTGGATACCCTCAGGACACCTGGATGAAAGAGGAAGGATTTATCTGGGGTCTGAGGAGGTACACAAAAGAGAATATCAGTGCTCCTTAAATAGACAGTTGCTACTTTTTGGTACACATTTTGTACAAAGTTGCTAAGAAGTTGTCTTCCAGTTTTACTGTTCCTTGGTCATCCCATATACCCCATCCAAGTTGTTAACCCCTTAAAAAAACAAAAGAAACAGGCTCAAGGACTGTTTTACGGCCTTAGAGAGAAAATGTGGAAAATACCAGTTGCCTAGCTTTGCAGAGCTTAGGGGGACCCTATCAAGCTCAGTAGCCCTTGAGGGTGTGAGTGCTACACATATTTACATTTATTCCTAAGTACAGTGATATTTGCATGAAAGCACACCAAAAATGCATCAAGGAGAATTTTTATAATTCCCCATAGCACGGAGGTGTCAACATGCCCAAAGATTTTTTTTCCTAAAAATTGATTTTTATTTATATTTTTTGGGTGTGTTTAGATGTCAGCAGTGCTTTTGAGAGTTCTTCCTTAAAACAAATGTCTGCATGGCCATTATGGGTTATGGCACATGTATATAATTAGAGATGAGCGAATTATTCAAAAAATTCGGTTCGGCTGATTCGCCGAATTCGCCGAATAAATTCGCTTCGAGCCGAATATATTCGCTGCGAATTTAACTTATAAAAAGGGTGTTTCTAGGCTTCAGAGAGCCTTTATATTAGTGCAGAACACTGTACCTTTAATTTAAATGCCCTTGGAGTCTGCTGGGGAAGAGAAATAATACTGTCAGTCAGTATGACATAAGAAAAATTAATAATAGCGCCTATGGTCAAAATTATATAACTTACTAATAGTGTACCAGCTGCAAAAAATCACCATATATAAAGTGTACCAATAAATAATTTTTGCGCTAGTAAATGTGTATAAAAAAATCATCAAATCATAAGTCCAGAAAAAAATATATATATGCCAATACCACAAAAAAAAAAATATAAAAACTTTTAAGTGCAAAAAACTTTTGTGCAAAAAAAAAAAGTGTCTAAATATGAAAAATTTTCACCAAAACACCTTGATAATATAATGGCAGATCATCCATAAATATATCTTCAGAAACGGAAACTCTGCAACACACCGATCCTCATCGATCGAAATAACAGGATGAAAAACTTTGTAGTTAATCGAAAATCCACTTCTCCAATAGATAAAGGACCACCTTCAAACGTATCCATGGGGGGAAATGCCAAGCACTCGAGAGAAACGAAAGACTTCATGGTGCAATATTATAAAAACCAATTCCTTTATTAGGTACTCATTGCACTTACTCAAGAGGTGTCCCAGCCGACACCAGCATCAACAGCATAACAGCAATCACATAAACGAGCCTGGCTACTCAGCACATGCGCAGTAGCTGGCAGCCAAAAACGTTAATGACGTCACATCAATCAAGCTCCGCCTACGCGTTTCGTCATCGACGTCCTCATGGAGCGGATAGATGTGAGACGTCTCAACCTCCTTAAATATTCACTTACAGAAACGAACAGCTGACATCAATGGGGAATCAAGCAAAGCAAGCCACCCCACAGATGACAGGAGTCCACAAAGGATATACAATGTATCCAATATATTTGCCATCACAAGCAAAAAAACTTTAAAACAAGAGAACAAAAATAGAATAAAAAAAAATTTGAACCAAAAACACTAATAATAAATAAATTAAATAAGTAAATACATTAACGGGCCAGCACCCTCTAAGACTGTGTTTCAAAAAGGGAAATTAAAGGGCCAGTAACAATTTCAACACAAATAAAGGGGAACTCTAGTAATAATACAAAAATAATGCAAAAATTGTACAAAAAACATACAATCTCCCATATATATCATCTTTAAACAGTTACCTATATAAAAAATATACTTAAAATAACATAAAAATTAAAAATTTGTGAGAAAACAAATTCAAATCTATATTGACATTTAAACCAAATGGTTGCAAGGAATTTAGTTCATAAATCCAAAACGTCTCTTTTTTGGAAATCTCATTAACCATAAATCCGAGCCCTCCAATGGGGTTTTACCATCTCGATCCCATAAAAGGTAAGTAAGCTCGGATCACAATTATGTACCAATTTGAAATGTTTGGATACACTATGTTTATCAAATCCTTTTACTATGTTTCTTTATAATGTTCGCCTATTCTTGTTTTTAAACATCTCCCAGTTTCTCCCAATATATCTCAAATGACATGGACATTCTAAAACATAAATCACATGTGTAGAATTGCATGTAATCAGGGATTTAATATCATATTTTTTTTGGAAAATGAAGAGCAGAATGACTTTCTTTTTTTTTATTACCAACTTTTACAGTCCTACAAACTTTTACACTTCCCTACATGGAAAAAAACCATTTAAATTTGGAAACAGATCGAACTTTTTTTGGGGGTTCGATGACATTGCGAGCCAGTTTCATCCTAGAGGACTATTTTTCTTATAATGAATTTAGGAGTTTTAGATAAGAATTTATTTAATATATCATCTTTTATAAAATGGGCCAATATTTTTTTAAAAATTCGTTCAATATTTTTGTTATTGACAGAATATTATAGTTAGTAATAAAGGGTACATTATTTTCAAATCCAAAATGAGCCTTTCTATTTTCCAAGAAACGTCTCCCTATCTTTAATACCAATCGAATTTCTCTCTTTAATCAAAAAGGTCTTATTCATACCCCTTTTCTCTATAAAATCTTTCAATTAACACCTCAGATTGGTCGAAAAATCTTTGTTAGCGCTACAATTTCTTTTTAATCTGGGTAAACTGACTTGTTTGGAGTGCTATATAACCAATTTGGATGATGTCCACTAGAGGATAGGTATATAGCTGTTTTTGGTCCACTTCCCCTTGAAGTAAGTTTTGGTTACAAATTTTGGCCATTATCTTTGTATAGGACCAGATCCAAAAAATTTTGTGCATGCTCAAAATCAGCTAACTCATAACAGTGAATCTCAATCCATAGCGGTTCATATTAATATATTCCATAAAGGAATCAAGCTTTTCTCTGGATCCCATCCCATACCATTATAATGTCATCAATATACCTCTTGTATAGCGCCATCTCTGGCCATTTATTGAAAATACTTTCTTCCTCCCATTTATCCATTACCAGATTTGCCACACTGGGAGCATACTTAGCTCCCATGGCAACACCCTTACATTGCTGAAAAAAAGTGTTGTTGTTCAAAAGAAATTGTTATTCATCGCAAATTCAAGTAATTCAACAACAAATTTCCTCTGCGATCTTTTCAGGAGTGATTTATGTTTAAGGCCCATTTTACTGCATTAATTCCATCAATTTTGATCGATGTTCGTATATAAAGATTCTACATCTATAGTAACCGAAAACATTACAATTATCAACATTATGTAATTCTTTAAGGATGTTAATAAGATGTCCACCATCTCTCAGAAAAGCCCTATTTTGTCATAACAATGTTTTTCAGAAAAGTATCAACATATTCACCAACTCTTTGCAAATAAAGAATTTATCCCACTCACAATGGGTCTCCCCGGGGTTCTCCTTATTTTTGTGTATTTTTGGTAAATAGTATATAGTAGGTATTTTCGGATGTTTTCAAAATAGTTGGTTTAAAAAATGCTTCTACATTTAACCCCAAGATTTCTGGAAATGCTTTTCTGGAGGTATTTAAAAATATGGTAGAAAATGAGATTAAGAGTATTAATGTTAAAAATTCGTACTGTATTCCACCAGATATATAAATTGGGTATTGAGGATCTTGAAAAGAGAAAGAATATAGTAATTAGAAGTGCTGATAAAGGGGGAAGTTATTGTTGTTTTAAATAAGAATGACTATGAAAAAGAAATGAAGAGATTATTGTACAATCTGAAGACACATACAATTTTGCAAAAAAAATCCCATATAAGAAACTTAAATTACTACTTAAGTGTATTATTAACAAGGAAAAAAAAGTTGGGGGTATTAACTGAAAAAGAAGCAAAATATTTATTGATGTAAACATCCGAAACTAGATACTTACTATATACTATATACTATTTACCAAATAAATACACAAAAATAAGGAGAACCCACCGGGGGGAGTAGACCCATTGTGAGTGGGAAAATTCTTTATTTGCAAGAGTTGGTGAATATGTTGTGATACTTTTCTGAAAAACATTGTTATGACAATATAGGGCTTTTCTGATGAGATTTCTTAACTGACATCTTATTTAACATCCTTAAAGAATTTACATAATGTTGATAATTGTATGTTGGTTTACTATAGATGTAGAATCTTTATTATACTTAACATCGATCAAAATGATGGAATTAATGCAGTTTAAATGGGCCCTTATTTTCATAAATCACTTCCTGAAAAGATCGCAGAGGAAATTTTGTTGTTGAATTACTTGAATTTGCGATGAATAACAATTTCTTTTGGTACAAAAACACTTTTTTTTCCAGCAATGTAAGGGTGTTGCCATGGGAGCTAAGTATGCTCCCAGTGTGGCAAATCTGGTAATGGATAAATGGGAGGAAGAAAGTATTTTCAATAAATGGCCAGAGATGGCGCTATACAAGAGGTATATTGATGACATTATAATGGTTATGGGATGGATCCAGAGAAAAGCTCGATTCCTTTATGGAATATATTAATATGAACCGCTATGGATTGAGATTCACTGTTATGAGTGATTTTGAGCAAATTAATTTTTTTGGATCTGGTCCTATACAAAGATAATGGCCAAATTTGTACCAAAACTTACTTCAAGGAAGTGGACAAAAACAGCTATATACCTTATTTCTAGTGGACATTATCCAAATTTTTATATAGCACTCCAAAAAGTCAGTTTACCAGATTAAAAAAAGAAATTTGTAGCGCTAACAAAGATTTTTTTCGACCAATCTGAGGTGTTAATTGAAAGATTTATAGAGAAAGGGTATGATAAGACCTTTTGATTAAAGAGAGAAATTCGATTGGTATTAAAGATAGGAAGACGTTTCTTGGAAATAGAAAGTCTCATTTGGGATTTGAAAATAATGTACCCTTTATTACTAATTATAATATGCAATACAAAAATATTGAACGAATTTTTAAAAAATATTGGCCCATTTTGTTAAAAGATGATATATATTAAATAAATTCTTATCTAAAACTCCTAAATTCATTTATAAGAAAAATAAGTCTCTTAGGATGAAACTGGCTCGCAATGTCATCGAACCCCCAAAAAAAGTTTGATCTGTTTCCAAATTTAAATGGTTTTTTTTCCTTGTAGGAAGTGTAAAGTTTGTAGGACTGTAAAAGTTGGTAATAATAAAAAAAGAAAGTCATTCTTGCTCTTCATTTTCCAAAAAAGAATATGATATTAAATCCCTGATTACATGCAATTCTACACATGTGATTTATGTTTTAGAATGTCCCATGTCATTTGAGATATATTGGGAGAACTGGGAGATGTTTAAAAACAAGAATAGGCGAACATATAAGAAACATAGTAAAAGGATTTGATAAACATAGTGTATCCAAACATTTCAAATTGGTACATAATTGTGATCCGAGCTTACTTACCTTTTATGGGATCGAGATGGTAAAACCCCATTGGAGGGGCTCGGATTTGGTTAATGAGATTTCAAAAAAGAGACGTTTTGGATTTATGAACTAAATTCCTTGCAACCATTTGGGTTAAATGTCGATATAGATTTGAATTGTTTTCTCACAAATTTTTAATTTTTATGTTATTTTAAGTATATTTTTATATAGGTAACTGTTTAAAGATGATATATGGGAGATTGTATGTTTTTTGTACAATTTTTGCATTATTTTTGTATTATTACTAGAGTTCCCCTTTATTTGTGTTGAAAGTGTTACTGGCCCTTTAATTTCCCTTTTTGAAACACAGTCTTAGAGGGTGCTGGCCCGTTAATGTATTTACTTATTTAATTTATTTATTATTAGTGTTTTATTCAAATTTCTTTTTATTCTATTTTTGTTCTCTTGTTTTAAAGTTTTTTTTGCTTGTGATGGCAAATATATTGGATACATTGTATATCCTTTGTGGACTCCTGTCATCTGTGGGGCGGCTTGCTTTGCTTGATTCCCCATTGATGTCAGCTGTTCGTTTCCTGTGAGTGAATATTTAAGGAGGTTGAGACGTCTCACATCTATCCGCTCCGTGAGGACGTCGATGACGAAACGCGTAGGGCGGAGCTTGATTGATGTGACGTCATTACATTTTTGGCTGCCAGCTACTGCGCATGTGCTGAGTAGCCAGGCTCGTTTATGTGATTGCTGTTATGCTGTTGATGCTGGTGTTGGCTGGGACACCTCTTGAGTAAGTGCAATGAGTACCTAATAAAGGAATTGGTTTTTATAATATTGCACCATGAAGTCTTTCTGTTTCTCTCGAGTGCTTGGCATTTCCCCCCATGGATACGTTTGAAGGTGGTCCTTTATCTATTGGAGAAGTGGATTTTCGATTAACTACAAAGTTTTTCATCCTGTTATTTCGATCGATGAGGATCGGTGTGTTGCAGAGTTTCCGTTTCTGAAGATATATTTATGGATGATCTGCCATTATATTATCAAGGTTTTTTGGTGAAAATTTTTCATATTTAGACACTTTTTTTTTGCACAAAAGTTTTTTGCACTTAAAAGTTTTTATATATTTTTTATGTGGTATTGGCATATATATATTTTTTTTCTGGACTTATGATTTGATGATTTCTTTTTATACACATTTACTAGCGCAAATTATTTATTTATTAGTCAGTATGACATGCAGATGAGTGCCGTCGATCTTAGAATCACCGCACACTTCACTCATTTGGGCAGTCACGGGGCCAAAACCAGAGTGTGGAGCCACAGTGTGGCGGTGGAGGCAGCAGCAATGGGAGGCCATACAGCACCCTATGACAAAATGGAACCCACCAGCAGTGTGAGGAGACCTGAAAGTGGCACATGGCAGAGTGTGGCGATGGAGACAGCAGCAATGGGAGGCCGTACAGGGACCCATGACACACTCTGGACCTGGCAGCAGCATGAGGAGGCGGTACAGGGGCCCATGACAGATTACGGGCCTGGCAGCAGCATGAGGAGTCGGTACGGGGGCCCATGGCAGATTACGGGCCTGGGCAGCAGCAGCAGCGTGAGGAGGCGGTACAGGGGCCAATGGCAGAGTGGCGGAGCAGAAGCAGCTAAAATTGAAGGCCATACACAGTCCTAGGTTTAAAAGTCCCTCACAGTTAATTCCAATAACGAAACTCTACTCCTCCGTGCAATCTACTTACGAGACCCTGGGCAGGTCTGGGTCCAATTTGTGGTAGAGACTGGTTTTGTTCAGCCATGCTTGAGCGAGTAATAACAGGTCTGTGCTGCCCTTTGGTGTCTGGCTTAATGCGTACAACACTGAACGTCCCAGCGTTTGTCAACGATTTGCCGTTAAGTGATGCAAACCCGCTGAACCACGTTCATGAGGAGCCGGTACAGGGGGCCATGAATCAGTATGGACCTGGCAGCAGCGTGAGCAGACGACAGAGGCACATGGCGCAGGGGTGGCGGTGTAGGCAGCATTATTCTGAAGCCATACACAGGCCTAGGTTAAAAAGCGGAAGCCGTCAGCAGCGTGAGCAGACGACAGAGACACATGGCGCAGGGTGGCGGTGGATGCAGCAGTATTCGGAAGCCAAACACAGGCCTCGGTTAAAAAGCGGAAGCCGTCAGCAGCGTGAGCAGACGACAGAGGCACATGGCGCAGGGTGGCGGTGGAGGCAGCAGCAATGGAAGGCCATACAGCACCCTATCACAAAATGGAACCCACCAACAGTGTAAGGAGACCTGAAAGTGGCACATAGCAGAGTCTGGCGATGAAGTCAGCAGCAATGGGAGGCCGTACAGGGACCCATGACACACTCTGGACCTGGCAGCAGCAAGAGGAGGCGGTACAGGGGCCCATGGCAGAGTGGCGAAGCGTAAGCAGCTTAAATTGAAGGCCATACAGAGGCCTATGTTAAAAAGTCCCCCCAGCAGCAGTGTGGGGAGACGACTATCAAGAGTCCAATGGCTGAGTGGCGATCCGGGAAGTCAGCGTTGTGATTGCAGATGCAATGCAGAGATTCTATGAGGTGATGCTGTGGGTGCAAAGAAGATCATATACCGTCGTACTTCCATCCATAAGACGGAACAACCTGCGAACCGGGAGCTTTATTGCCCTGACCCGCTGAGCAGATTCTGGGATACCCAAGAGGCCCATGGCAGAGTGGCGGAGCGTAAGCAGCTTCAATTAAAGGCCATACAGAGGCCTATGTTAAAAAGTCCCCCCAGCAGCAGCGTGGGGAGACGACTATCAAGAGTCCAATGGCAGAGTGGCGGAGCGGAAGCAGCTTCAATTGAAGGCCATACACAGGCCTAGGTTAAAAAGTCCCCCAGCAGCAGTGTGGGGAGACGACTATCAAGAGTCCAATGGCTGAGTGGCGATCCGGGAAGTCAGCGTTGTGATTGCAGATGCAATGCAGAGATTCTATGAGGTGATGCCGTGCCGTGGGTGCGAAGAAGATCATATACCGTCGTACTTCCATCCATAAGACGGAACAACCTGCGAACCGGGAGCTTTATTGCCCTGACCCGCTGAGCAGCTTCTGAGGTGGTAGAGGCGGACATCTTTGCTGGACCAAGGACGTGCAAACGTGGAGGCAAAAGCGGCGTGACCTGTCCAAGTTGCTGGTGCGGCTGTGCAGGCACCACGTTCACCCAGTGGGCCGTAAATGACATGTACTGTCCCTGACCGTAGTTACAGCTCCACACGTCGGCGCTGCCGTGCACTTTGGCAGAGACCGACATGCTCAAAGACTGGCCCACCATCTCTTCTACATGTGAATGCAGGGCTGGCACTGCCTTTTTGGCGAAGAAATGCCGGCTTGGCACTCTCCACCGCGGCTCGGCACAAGCCATCATTTCTCGGAAAGGTGCTGAGTCCACCACTGGAAAGGGAGGGACTGCAGCACCAGCAACTTGGACAGGAGGACGTTCAGCTTCTGCACCATCGGGTGCGTGCTCGCAAACTGTTGTCTCTTGGAAACGGATTCCAAGAAAGACTGCTGACGGAATCCGTGAAGAGGAGTAGCAGGAGAAGGAGCATCTGAACGAGCGGAAGATGCCAACGAGCGACAACTCCCCTCAGCAGAGGTGTTGGAGCCTTGACTGGCTGATAGAGGGCGATTGACGTCGGGTGACGGAGCAAGTAACGGAGCGGGTGATGGAGCGGGGGGCTGGGGCAGGCAGAACCGCCGTATCTTTATCACGGTTTTCCCAGGCCACCGAATGGCGACGCTGCATATGCTGACGCAACGCTGTAGTCCCAACATTGGCCCCCTGGCCACGCTTGACTTTCTGGCCACATAGTCGACATACGGCTACGTTTACTTCCTCGGGCGGCTTGACGAAAAATTGCCACACCGCCGAGTAGGAAACTTTGCCCCCGCTACTCCTCACTGGCTGACTGCTACTTCCTCCGTGCACACCGGCACCACTACTGGCCCCCTCGGCTGCGTGTGGGTCAGGAGACAGACCTGTCTCTAGACCGGCTACCGAGCCACTCTCCTCGCCAGTACTTCTTTGCCTGGCTGCTGAAGAGGCGGATGTCTCCCCCCGTTCCTGACCGCCCTCTGTTAGCTCTTCCTCACTGTACAGTGGGGCTGAGCCCACAGCATGCGATACTTCGCTTGGTGAGGGAACACCAAAGGACAGGGGCAGGTCGAGGACACGTGATTTCAGTGGGCTTGCTCCCGGGCCATGCCAACTAATGGTTGTGTCTGACGTACCCACCGACCGTTGGCTGTAGGTGTCAGAGGTGACCTGGGAAGAGGAAGACGACCGAGTCAACCAATCGATGACGGCAGGGTTGTCGGTGGAGACACGACCGCTGGATGACACCGAGAGCACTGGCCTCTGGCTGCGACTAGTGCTGCCTCGACCCCTTCCTCTGCTGCTGCTCGCTCCTGACGTCTGCTCGCTCCTGAAACATTGCCTCCTCTGCCACTCCTCTGCGTGTTGTCTGACATACTCTTTAATTCAATAAGCACCCCAAAAATAAAACCGGATTTAACTCTTTGAACGTACAATAGTGGTTGTGAAGCAGAAAGTCAGTTTATTTAGCACAATCGGTAATTGCAGCTTGCCGTTGGCTGTAAACTGTACGTTTATGTCACTGGAATGCACTAATCACCCAAAAAATATTACCGCCAGCCGGCGTGTAAATGGATTTAACTCTTTGAACGTACAATAGAGGTTGTGAAGCAGAAAGTCAGTTTATTTAGCACAATCGGTCAATTGCAGCTTGCCGTTGGCTGGAAACTGTACGTTTATGTCACTGGAATGCACTAATCACCCAAAAAATATTACCGCCACCCGGCGTGTAAATGGATCTAACTCTTTGAACGTACAATAGTGGTTGTGAAGCAGAAAGTCAGTTTATTTAGCACAATCGGTCAATTGCAGCTTGCCGTTGGCTGGAAACTGTACGTTTATGTCACTGGAATGCACTAATCACCCAAAAAATATTACCGCCACCCGGCGTGTATATGGATTTAACTCTTTGAACGTACAATAGTGGTTGTGAAGCAGAAAGTCAGTTTATTTAGCACAATCGGTCAATTGCAGCTTGCCGTTGGCTGGAAACTGTACGTTTATGTCACTGGAATGCACTAATCACCCAAAAAATATTACCGCCACCCGGCGTGTATATGGATTTAACTCTTTGAACGTACAATAGTGGTTGTGAAGCAGAAAGTCAGTTTATTGTACACAATCGGTCAATTGCAGCTTGCCGTTGGCTGGAAACTGTACGTTTCTGTCACTGGAATGCACTAATCACCCAAAAAATATTACCGCCAGCCGGCGTGTAAATGGATTTAACTCTTTGAACGTACAATAGTGGTTGTGAAGCAGAAAGTCAGTTTATTTAGCACAATCGGTCAATTGCAGCTTGCCGTTGGCTGGAAACTGTACGTTTATGTCACTGGAATGCACTAATCACCCAAAAAATATTACCGCCACCCGGCGTGTAAATGGATTTAACTGTTTTGAACGTACAATAGTGGTTGTGAAGCAGAAAGTCAGTTTATTTTGCACAATTGGCAAACTGCAGCACCAACTGTGCACGACAGCCACCAAAAAAAAAAAAGGTGTATGTCACTTTAAATTTTCGATTCTTTGATAGCTGTGGCCCTAAGTAACGATTCTGTGTCCCTGAGTAACGATTCTGTGTCCCTGAGTAACGATTCTGTGTCCTGAGTAATGATTCTGTGTCCCTGAGTAATGATTCTGTGGCCCTAAAGTCTCTGTGGCCCTAACTCTGTCCCTTAATACACACAGGTCTGTCTCTCTTGAATGACCGGAGGCTAATGGAGAATTCTAAGATGGCCGCGATTTATAGCTCCACCATTACACAGTGCTGGCTGGCTGCTGATTGGCTAATGCGATCACATGTCATGAATGCATTATGGGTCAGCGCGCCTTGTCTGCGCGCCTTCCCAGAGATCCCCGCCCCATCTTCTCTGTCCATTTTCTCCGTGGCCACACATGTCGCCGCCATTTTTGGGAAAATTCGATTCGTGCATCCGAAGTTTGCTAATCGTCGGATTTGTCGCGAATAGAATTTTTCCAAATCTTCGGAACGAATTCCACTTCGTCATGTTCGATTCGCTCATCTCTATATATAATGTATGCAGCAGTAAATGACCCTTACCACAACCTGCTTATTTTCTTACATTTGTAAGTAATTTTTCTTTTAAAAAGCAAACTGTTATTAGGCTCAAGCCATCAAATCTTTTAATTTGCCACTGATCAGCACTACAAAGAACAGAGGTGTGGATTGCTAAGTAAAGGGGTTATAATAAATTCCCTTTAGTGGCAGAACAGGACACTGCACTGCTAATGGAACCCCCGTTGCTTTCACACTTCTATAACAGAGCTCCTTGCTTGACTTTAGCATAAGTCCACTTAAAAGTTTCACCCCCT